CTAGCAGCAGACACACCACACTTACTGTGGTGAGCACTGAGTAATGTACAGAACTGCCAAATTACTACGTCGTACACCGAAACGAATATAACATTGTATGTCGACCGCACTTCCATAATGAGAAAATGAAAGAAAGAGGTAAAAAAAAAAAAAAACAGACAAGAGGCCACTATGTGCTCTTGTCTAAGCACAGACCAAAACAAAAGCACAAAAATCCCAGACAACCCCCTTGTCCTGCTCATAGTCTACTACGAGAAGACTGCTGCTTTTTTACCAATTAGAGCGTGAGCCTTGCTTTCTTCCTTCCCCTTTGTAGATAGGATTTGTTAAGGTACCCAGTCATACAGAGAACAGATTGGTGGTTGCCAGAGGCAGAGGTCTGGGGATAAACAAAATAGGTGAAAGGGGTCAAAAGGTACAAATGTCCAGTTATAAAATAAATGAGTCCTGGGGATCTAAGGTGCAGCATGGTGAGTGTAGTTAATAATACTATAGTGCGTATTTGGAAGTTGCTAAGAGAGTAGATCGTAAAAGTTCTCATCACAAGAAAATAAATTTGTAACTATGTATGGTGACCAATGATAACTAAATTTGTGGTGATCATTTTGCAATATATACAGATATTGAATCCTGACATCCTACGCCTGAAGCCAATATAACATTGTATGTATAGCAATTATACTTCAATTTTTTTAAAAAAGACCCAGTCATGGAATTGTCCCCATTGGGATAATACCGGCAGCATCCCATCCAGGACTAAGCCCCATTTCCTTGAATCTCCCCCCAAATCACCTAACACAAGCCCAAAGGCTATCCTAAGTCCCCATGAACAGCCCCTTGCTGCACGGTTCCTGGGGCGTGCAGTCTCCCCCGTCTGCATGGAGCATGAAGCCCCACTTGCTCAACCACAGGTGTGTTCCTGGTGGTCTCTGGTGGGAGGTCAGGGACAGAAATGGACGTTCAGCCAGATTCACTGGAAGCCCTCACTGCCTCTGACCACAACCCGGGACCCAGTGATCCTGCGGCAATAACATGCTGTTGAAGGTGTCGCCTTGGCTGAGAGTTAAGGTCCTTTAGGATCAAGCCCTGGTGTTACAATGAAGCCCTTCAGCATTGGGTCTATTTTATTTTCCCGGGAATAAGATGTCTGGGATTTTCAGGCACGTGATCGGGTCTGTATTGTTCTATGGCGATGTTGTACAATGTGGCCTCTGCCCTTGAGGCATTTTAGATCTAACTGGGTACTGGCTCTCAGGTTGGTCTACGCCATACATTTTTGGCATTTCCATTGCAAGTAGTGAGTTTAAATAAGAATAAATCTACTTGACGGGTTGCCTGGGTGGCTCAGTCGGTTAGGCGTCCAACTCCTGCATTTGGCTCAGGTCATGATCTCAGGGTCCTGGGATCGAGCCCCACATCGTGCTCCCTGCTCAATGGGGAGCCTGTTCCTCCCTCTCCCTGCTGCTCCCCCTGCTTGTGCTCGCTCTCTCTCTCTCTCTCTGACAAGTAAATAAATAAAAGCTTAAGAAGGGGGAATAAATCTACTTGAAATCTTACCTATTAGAGTGGGCATTTTAAAGATCTAACATTCTCACCCTGTGCTGAGCCCCACACGGGCAGTCTCCTGTCACCCTCACAACAATGTCAAGAGGCAGGAATTCTAATTTTCTGCCATTTGACAGATGGCAAAACTGAAGCCTGGAGAACTTTTTTTACTCACAATGTTCTTCCTGAGGCCAAGCAGGTCATCAGTGGTAGAGCCGGGAATTAATGGCAGGCCAACTCAGAAGGCAGAATGCTCAAACTTTAAGCTATACTTCACAGCATATGTTAATTTGTATAATAGAATCTCTCCGTAAAGCACTTTTCTGCCACGTAGGTTTAGTGGTGTAGTGGGCCAAATCATGTCTCCCCACTTAGGATGTACCGTGCAGTGGAAGTTTAAACAACAGAAAGCTAGAGTTATGAAGCAAGTGTCAAGGCTCCTCCCAAAAACGTCCTATTCGTTTTTTTTCTGAATACCTTTGAACATCAGATTATAGCCACACACTCACCGCAGTCAGCATGATTTTCTTCAGGTTCCAGCTTTCTGAGGCAGACAGGAGACCTGGTGATTATCGTGCCCACCGCGAGCCTGTATCAACGGGGCCACTCTGAGAATTTGCTCCCCTCTGCTCCCTGCTCTCTCGCCTGAGAAAATGTAGGCAAAATACCAGCAGCCCTTGGTTGTAAATCCCATGCCAATTTCCTCTTGCATCTCCAAGCCTAAAAGAACCAGTGTGGCGTGCCAAACGTTTTTGCTCCATATTGAAGCTCACTGTTACGGCGCAGCCACATTTGTGATCACGTGGTGAAAATGTGAGGTGACAGAGTCCGCCCTCCTTTTGCTTCACAAAAAGATGAGAAAGATCATGGCTCTGCTCCTGGGCACAGGCTATGTCCCTTTCCGGTGGCACTCCTGAATCAGGACACCAGGCTTGGGAGGGCTATAGCATGTCATCCACAGGAAATCACCCCGTGGGGCCACGAGACCCACTAACATAGAAAAGGAAGAAACTGGCACAAGAAGAGAAACCAGAAAGGAAGGAACCTAGAGAATGTAATCCAAAACTGGAAAAAGTGAAAATGACTTTCGAGCATAAAAGGAACAGGTATGATATTCACTCCCCAACTCAGGCAACACTCTATTTACTAGTCCACACAGCAGCTGTCCTCACACCCTCTGCTCTTCTAACTTCCTTGGGGATCTGCATGCTTCTTGTCTGCTGGAGAAGATAAGGCTGGGGGCCAGGTGAGAGAAGGAGCTTCAGGACAGGCTGGCTTTGTCCTTCCTCCTGGAGCAGAGAGAAGTAGGAGGGTTGACCAGAAGTTTGGCGGTGGCCAGGAGGCTGGTCAGGAGGCTTCTGCTACAGCATGGATGTGAGCTGATCAAGCTGAACCCAAGAGACGGGGACAAGACTAGAGAAGCAGGGACTGACATCGAGTCCTTGAAGAAAACATTAATGGAGCACAATGACTGGATGGACACAGGACGAGAGTAAAGGCAGCATTACACACAGCAGCGAGGTTCGGGCAGAAATGCACCAAGGAAAGCTGACCATAGAAGTGAGAGAAACTCCTTGGGAATTTAGAGGAGTGTGTGCAGACTCCCTGAGGACATGCACAGTGAGCGCTCAGCAACAGCCAGTGGAGCTCAGGATCCCGGGCAGGACAGGAGATGAGATGGCAGGTGCTCCAAACTCTGAACAACAAAGCAACACGGAATGTGGTGGGGAAGGCGTCTGGATAAAATCGTTTCTGGTGAATAGTCTAGTATCGGCATTTCCCCAATCTGCACCCCCCTCCCCACAAAAGCTTTGGGGCCAAGGGCTTAAAGAATTAAGTCTAAAAATCTTTAAAAAAAAAAAAGGGGGGGGGCAGCGCCTGGGTGGCTCAGTCATTAAGCGTCTACCTTCAGCTCAGGCCATGGTCCCAGGATCCTGGGATCGAGCCCAGCATCGGGCTCCCTGCTCCGCAGGAAGCCTGCTTCTCCCTCTGCCACTCCCCCTGCTTGTGTTCCCTCTCTTGCTATGTCTCTCTCTGTCAAATGAATAAATAAAATCTTTAAAAAAAGAAAAAAAAGAATGAAGTCTAAGCTTTCAGGTTGGATTGTCCTTTCCCCCCACCTTTCTCCACCCACTGAACTACTCCAAGGTCAATTTCAAATGCCACATCTTCCGTGAAGGCTTTCCTCCTCACCTTCACGTGTGTGGATTGTAGCACTATTTAATGCCAATTCACTTTAAACGGTATTTAATTGACAAAATGGAATTACAGAGATGGGAGGAGGCAGGATAAGAACAGGAAAAATGTGAATGCCAAGTTGAACATGTAAGATAACAAAATCACTTGACATTTAACTCTGCTCTCCTGTCTTCTAGGATTCCTCCAATGACCCCACAGGGAAGGAAGCACAAGCCTTCATCATCGGAAAAAAAACCCAAAAAACTCTGAAGCTCAATGAAGTTAAAGGATTTGTCCAAATCCTGTAGTTGGTAACACCGGAAGTTGAACCTAGTCATTCATTCATGTGTTTATTCATTCAGTAAGTATTTATTGGTGCCAGGTCCTGTGACACTGTTCCAAGCACGGGATGGGGGCTGAAGAACACAGCTGTGGATCATATGTAGCCTTATTCTAGTGGGAGACACAGGAAATAAATGAGTAAATGTATAATCTAATGTTACAAAGTGACAGTGCTATGAAGAAACATCAAGCAGGGGGGAGACACAGAGGAGACAGGGTTCCCCACACTAGATGGAGTAGTCAGACATCCTGTACTCTGCGCCCCGAGCTCAGTCCTCTGTTCCATCCTGCAGACTCATTGCAGAGGCAAGTTGATGGTCATGAAGTGTGCAGCCCTGTTCTTTTACAGATGCTGCCCAGGGCTTGGGATGTGTACATCTGAGCACCAAAGCCCATTCAGTGCAAGATCCTCCACCACCACCACCCCCCCCCACGCCCAGGCTCTGAGTAGGTCTCCTTAAACTCCCACAAAGCTGGACTGCCTTATTTAGTTTCCAATGTAGACTATAAACTCCTGGAGGCAAGAACCACTCACACGGTTTCCAGTAAGTGCATGTCAGTTATCAGTCGATGGGTTGATCAGATTAAAAACAATTGGAAGAACCGAAGACTGTTCCCCTTAAAATCTATAGGACTTCTCCAAAATAAGCCTAGCCTCTCTGCCATTCCCTACATCCCAGGAGCTCCCCTCCTGCACAAACCGGGTTGGGCAGCCCAGCACCACACAAGCCCCACGAGAAAACCAGATCAGTCCAGGCTACAGTAAGTAGTCAGCTGCGTCAATTTGGGACGTTTTTGCCAAGATGGGCCCTGTGACATTGCAGATGGTGGAGAGTGGCAGGGGGTACAGAGAAAACTGCAGCAAAGCAGAGATGGAGACTTAGTCCCACATTAGTGTAAAACCGATCTGAAGCGTTACTGAGGAATAAACCGACTAGTGTTAAGCGGCAAAGACAAAATGAGTTCCACCACTTCGAGTTATCCGTCTGATTTCCACAAACATCTCAGTCATGCATTGTGTGTGTGTGGTTTTTTAAATTTATTTTACTGCACCACTGAACATCTTTCACTGTTACAGGTACGCATGTGTATATATCACTGGGGGATTTCCCATGCAATTAGTAGTTATTTAAACTTTGTATCTTAAAGTTTTAATAGTTCCCACAAATGTGACAATTACACTTTGGCAAAATCGCCTGTGAGGACAGAAGGAAGACTTGAAGCAACAGAACTCTGTAATACTGTAACATTAACTTCAGGCCTCCTGGAAGGGGTCCCTCTCCCTCCAAAAATCATCGTCCTTCCTGGATGATTCCCACTAGAATTCACAGCGGGCGGGTTCATCATCGCTGGCCTGGCTTTGTACCACGAGGAGACAGTTGATCCATCCAGCCATATTCAAGAAAGTTCCATGTAAACAAAAAGGTGCAGAATAAAACACCTGAAAAGAGAAGCTCCCGAAGGTGACACGTCCATATTAGCTAATCTCCAAATTCATAAGAACATTTGGATTACATACAGTGAGAAGTAGGGTCTGATGCAATTTCCATTTGAGCAGCTACTTTCCTGATTCAATACCTTCATTCCTACCTGCGGCGACTCAGGTGCAAATACACGCAGAAGTACAAATAGGTTAACAACTTAGCAGGCGAACGGCAAAGCTAGAGAACAGGCATGCTCGTTATTCAGTCTAAATTCAAAACCCAAATCAGGTTGCGTTTCCTCAGTTTATTTTCTAACACAGTCCTTTTTTGCAGTCTTTAATTGCAAGAGTGTGAAGATATATTTAAAAGCAGGAAATGTACCTTGCCCTCCAGGAAAAAAATGTGATATGAGGTGGCAAAGGATTAAGCTAACCACAGACAATACAGAATTTTTTTTAGCATCTGAACTCGTCCTTAGCACCAAGATAAGCTGCTTGTCTGGAACCAATAGAAGAAACATCATCAAGTTTAAAACTGGTGATGAATTAAACACCTTAGCCCCAAGAATCCAATCATACTGGTATTTTCTGGTCTCATTTTGTGGGGAGTTCATCAAACTGAGGACATTCATGAGTTGAAGGGGTCATGACAGAACAGCGAGAACAAATGCTTTTTTTCTTCATTTCATTCACTGTTGTATTGACTGATCTGCATAATCAGATTTGTAAGGCCTTTCTTCCCCCCCAAATTACATCTTTTCTTCAAATGTCTAAAGATCCTATGTAGAGTTGACTGTCATTTTGATGAACAGTTTGATCTCTCCTTGAAAAATATTTTTTTTAAAGAGTGAATTCTGCAGAACTGATTCTATTAAAATGATTACAGAGCTCTGGAGGGACTTTTATCAACAGTAATTCTCAACTACCCTTAGATTAACTCAGTGGCTCAGGACTAAAGACCAATTTGCCTGCAGAGGATTGTGCAGATGTCTGGGGACATTTTTTGTTGTCACGATTCATGGGTGTGCATCTAAGTGGGCAGAGGCCAGGGATGATGCACAACATCCTACCATGCACAGGACAGCCCCCCACAGCAAGGAACTGAAAATGTCACTAATGCTGAGAAAGCATAACAAAAATTCTTACTGCTTACAGGGCAGCTGCCTTATTAAAATCCCAAATCCACCTCAGTGATTTCTCTGATCTTGAAAGCACTCTTTCCTACTGAATTTTGGCATTCCCGATTTACCCCCCACTAGAGTTTGGCCCGCTGGTGGCAAAAAGGAAAAGAAACTAACCAATATAGAGAATATTTTTAATTCTTCCTCAAACAATGTCTCCCTGTTTTATTTATGCTTTATCAATAATTAGAGGGATCAGACACTTTTTTTTTTCTGTCCACAATGGAGCCTGGTAGTCCTAATGGATATTCATAATGGCCAAATGTCATGAAAACAATTCATCTCTATTTTCAAAAACCAATGTTGACATCTGGAAGATGAAAGCAGACACAGGACATCCCAGAGCCGGTGCTGAAATAATGGGGAAAGGACTCTTTCTATGGAGATAGAAGGACAGAGGACAGAAGCAAGCGCCGTCCCGTGTGTCCTCCAGGTTAGTGTGCAGGATGGCTGGTCCGGACCTGACACACACAGGATGCTCAAAACTTTTAAAAAATTATTTTCATTTCCTTAAAAAAAGAGGAAGATTTCTGTAACTGATCTAAGCACACAGGAACGCTAAAGTAAACGATAGCATTTTTCTAATCTCAGAGGAAAACAGTATTGGTAAAACCACTGTTCATCAGACTTACTACCACCAGGCAAGGTTGGCTCAAAGAGGAAAAGAAAAGTCCCACCTTTCCTTGGCAGAATTAAAATGCAGAACAACTAAAGGGAGAGTAAAACCCAAGTAAAAATCCCAGACTGCAGGCATAACAGTGCCGGAGATGACTAAGGAAACCACCTAGCCCCACACAAAAATATTGCACTTAATTAGCTTGTTTGAACACATTAAACGCATTCAAACTGTCTTAAAAGGGATTATTTCACATGAAGTCTATGTGAGTAAGTGTCCATCAAGCTACTTTTCTGAGGTAAATTTAGATATAACGGAATTAAGTGACTTTTCCTTAGAGAACATTATCTGGGTGTAAACTAGTGCTCATTTCCTTAGCCAACTGCACAGAAACTATAAAATTATAATTTTTTAATAAAAGCAGAATGATGTGAAATCAAATTAGACCTTCAAATCTGGAAGTGAGGGACAGATTTCTTCTTTGGTTCCAGTCAAGACATCTCAACCAACATTTGTCTAGAATTTCATCCACTCATCACAGTGGTGAGCTTCAAAGAGAACCCCCCGGTTTTTTGTGAGTACATGCTGTACTTTTAGTATTAAAAATAAAAGTGTTGTCTTATTTTTACCCCTCTTTTGGCTATACAGACTAGTCCAATAAACTCCTAGGGATAAAAATGCATTTACCTAATTCATGGCCAATTTAAACTCAGATCATAAATTTTGAAGGAATGAATGAAAAAAATTCCTATCCTACTGATCACAGCCGCTTACTTATTTCAGCCTTAGAATGAACACTAAGACATTTTTTTTTTTTAGCTGGTATTAGTGCTGAAAAATGCGGGCGCTTTTTCCATTACCAACCCAGCATTTCTGTTGACTCCCATGCAGATTCTAAACAGAACTCTGTGCCTGGAGCCTAAGAGATGACCACTGCCAGTCAATTTTACAACCCATCAGGGAAGACTCTAGTTCTCTATGAGGGCATCTCCACTTTCTCAGACCTATTTTGAGACTGTTCTGATTAAAATACTGCTGCCTAAACAATGTGTTCAATATAGGACAGAGGCTCCTTCAATACTAATGTAAGTCGATTATGGATCCAAATCAGTCTAATAAATTTATTTGAAATTGGTAATATGGGTCAGAGCCAGAAAAGGAAATAAAGAAAATCATAAGTACCTCAAAACACATTAAAAGGCAGCAATTAAATTAATTCTCATTTTTCCCTACACATACACTTTACCATCAAGTTACTAGTTGGCAACTACAATAAATATTTTTAAATATGTCTAGTGAAAGAAAAGTCAATCTAGCTTATTTTTTTGGCAGGAATGAATACTCAGTGTCATATATTCTTCTATCTCAGGAATACTCATGTTCTCCTGGTAAAGGTTACACATATCAGTGTGATCATATAAAAAAAGACCCAAAGGAAATTTGGACAAATAAGTCATTAAGCAATAAATGAGAACAGTCCCCAACTGGACCGATTCTGCAAAACAACATCTAAGTATTGTGTCATACCTTAGGAAGTGGGAAATATCCCCATACTTCCAAGTGAAAAAAAAAAGTATTTTATGCATTAAACATCTGAAGCACCCTATAGCTGTAGTTCATTTCACAGCGGAAAGTAAACATTAGTTTTCTCTCTACCTCACAAAATGAAGAGGTAGTCAGAAAGCCTTTTCTTCCTGTCTTCCCCTAATGAACTCCGCGTCCTCTCATGTTCTGAGACTATTTTCTACTCTAATAGGCGTTCATTTTACATTTATTCGAAAATGAGTCAAAGAAAAAAATTTCCGCAGTGACAGGACTATCCAATGTTCCTTTTTTGTGATCATCTAGTGGAATGAAAAAAAAAAAAAAAAAGAGCTATCATGATTCTTAAGCTTTTTCGATGTGCTTGGCTATGAGCTCACCTGAGAGTCAGTTACAAGTTCCAATCACTTTAAAACCGGAACTATTTTGAATCCCGTGTCCACAGCCATGGAGTCCCAGCCTTCAGCGTCCCTGACACTTATGCGAGTGCAGTTTGCTTCTCAAAATAAACGTGCAAACGGAAATGGTGAGTTTGTGGAAAAGCAGCATGAGATACCCAGGACAATGTAAAGGGCTTCTCGGTCACACAGAAATTAACAGACACATGCAATTAACATCCCAGACAACCAGCCCCTTGTTGAATACGGAGCGAGCACACCGCCAGTTTGATCAGTGTCTACAGCCCACGGAGGTCCTTCCACAAGCCAGAGTGCCTCGTCTACACGGTCTGTTCAGGTGGGGACCAGATTAAAAATGTGTGCTGTTGACATAATGTTGGTCCTCCTGAGTTTTCCTAAGAGCTTGTCCGTGGTCACTCGGGCAGCTGTCCAAAGATACTTCAATAGCCACTTGTGTTGTTTCGTGCCCAGTGAAGCTATCACTTGGGTAGGTGTCTAGGTGGGGACAGCCATTGTGCTCTGCACAGCCGTTGACGTGGGCCAGAGGCAGGGCCCCCAGCGGGCAGCACAGCTGGTTCTCACAGCCCTTGGAGATGCAGGGTGAGCTGCAGAGCAACAGCGAGTCCTTCGGCTCCATGGGGTCCTTCAAGTCCACCTGCTCAAACTGGATGGTCACATTGTGGATTCCCACACTGTGGAAGATTTCTCGAATTTTCCTACTGGCGTCCTGATAGCCCCTGTCCTTCTGATACTTGATGTGCAGGGTGGCAATGATCTTTCCGCTTATAAGTTCCCAGATGTGCACTTCATGTACACTGCTAATCCCGGGCACGGCCGAGAGTTTACTCACTACAAGAAGGAAGAGCAGACAATTAGCGAAGGCTCCTGGAAACAAGGTCCCACTACGGGAGGGACATGGTCCCTGAAGGCATTCCCACCAAAACGGTGTATTTACAGCGGGAAGAAAAAGAGCTGTATCTATATGGGCACATTTTCCCATAATCTTCTTTCTCCTCTTTGCATCCCTATACCATCCATCATGAGCCCATAAAAGGCAATTCAAGAAAATAAGTTTAACAACACCCAAAAGAATTCCCAAGGTTCAAGGGAATGGACACCCAAACGGGCTGTGCTGGGAGTATAAAGTAGGATGCCTTTTGGGCGCCTGGGTGGCTCAGTCGGTTGAGCGACTGCCTTCGGCTCAGGTCATGATCCTGGAGCCCCGGGATCGAGTCCCGCATCGGGCTCCCTGCTCGGCGGGGAGTCTGCTTCGCCCTCTGACCCTATCCCCTCTCATGTGTTCTCTCTCATTCTCTCTC